TTAATGTACAACCAACTTCAAATGCCAACCTTGATGATATCTTCGGCTCAGTTGCTTCATCGGCGCCGAAAATCAACCTGGAGTTTAATAGTTTTTCTGTAACCGACACCAACTAGTGCAAACCAACCTGATGTATTGGTGTGTGTCGCGTCAGTCTCAGCAAAATAGTCTTGCATCAACAACCAGAGCTCAGTACGTCATAGTTATTTTTCTTCTCTGTTTTTGGAAGCTAGTGCAATGAGGTATAGTTTTAATAAACATTTATTCGATTTGAAATTTTTACTACTATAGTCTTTATTTTGCAGTATATTATATACATATATTTGCAGTATATTATATTTTCATTGATCCACTTAGTTAAGTTTAACTATAACGAAGCAAAATGATGTGTAAAACCAAGTAATTGCTTTTAAATCTAAGTAAAAAATATACAATTTAAATGATAATTATTAAAAAGATACATGCATGCATATATACGTTAAGAACATAAATATATATAGGATATAAAATTTTAATCTCTTTGTCAACTTAATTGCGGCCCTGAAAAGGGCCTCTTGTTGATTGGTATATATGTATTTATCTAAGCATACAATTTTAATCTCTTTGTTAATTAATTGGCGGCCCTGAAAAGGGCCTTTGGATAAATCATATTACTTGCCTGCAAATAAATAAGTTTATATTTGTATAAAAGACGCTTGATGATTTTTTAAAACTAGGGACCTACGTAGCATGCAAGTATTTTAATTTTAGGAGTCTGAAAAATTGAGATCAGTGCGTGTGAAATGCGGACATTGATTCATGCTGCAAGTAAAGAACGGTTAATTTCTACAAATTTAAAAACGCTTTAGTTCAAAACTTACCACATGTTTGGTATTTTATGCAATACTTACAGTTCTATAATGGTACCATATGGATCGATATAGGTCAGAGTTTTTTTGGCTTTTCTTTTTCTTTTGTGGGCATTTTCAACGAGTTCTTTATTTAATTTTCGTACTTTGAAGAACATTCTTGCCCTGAAAAATAATTTTTTTACTTTAATGTCGCATTGAATTGTTGCAGCATGCTCAATGTGAGTTTTTACAAAATCATTTGTAATGAGCAAGCCGTCTTCGTTCAATGCCTTAAAGACTGACTCAAGACTTCGCATATGGACCATCATAGAGGAGCTTGGTAGGGATAACCCACCCTCATTAAGGTGATCCGCCCAGCAGAATGAATGGTCGTCATTGCTCCTGAACGACGTGCTGGGAATGTCATCCTGCAGCTTGTGGCAAATATATCCCGCTAAATGCTCGAGTCCGTCTAGCTCCAAATCCTCGAATTCCGCTTCTTCAACCGGCCACAGTTCTGCATTAGAGCTTAAGTTTTTCAGCAAAATACCTGTAAATATGGTGAAATATATATGTGCGATTATTAATAAAATATATTTTTATATTTAAGCCGAATGAAATAGATAAAAAATTATTTTGAATTACTTGTAAGCGGAGGCTGCGTGATTTCTATGTCAGGCGTATCATCCTCTTCTACATTAGCAGAATCGGATAATACGCCCTTGTTGTGTCCTAGCAGGTATAGTCGCAGACGGTACTTGAATTCCTGTTGGTCAGGGTGATCATGTAACCCGCCTTTTGACCGAATAATGCCGAAGAAATTTTCGAGCACGTCTTGGTTTAGCCGATACGTCAAGACATACTTGACATTAAAGCGAGCTTTAATGTCCTCGAATAACAACTTCAACGCCGTATTACTTTGAATGATTCCTAGGGATATAGTAAGAAAAAATTACAAACATTTAATGTTATTCTTGAGATAACCATATGTATTAGTTTACCTTTTTGGAATGGCAGCAGACTAAATTTGCCAAGCACCCTCATATTTTTGACTAGGTCGGTCATCTCGTCTAGGACCTTGTTTTGCTCCTCGATCGCTAAACCGTAAGCAAGACACCGCTTCCTGGAGTCGGCGTGAGGCACCCTGACGTTTAGAACGTCAAACCAGTCATTTGTCTAAGGTGTATAATTTGAACATGAGTTTTAATATTGCGGTTTAAATATATCGTAACCTTAATTCACAAAGGCCCTAAACAAAAAAATAATTATATTTTATAGCAGAAGCAATAAACGTTATAAAAATAGTATCGAAAATAGGTAGAGCTTTTGAAAAAGGGGCATGTAACTCCGTTGCTTTTGGTACTAACACTTTGAAATTTTTATTTAAGCTATATTTTAGTACGAAAAACTGTTGGTTAGAGCCTTTGTGAATTAAGATAACGATATGTAATATAGTAAAATATATAATATATCAATTTCATAATATAATATAACACATACTGTTTTGAATAACTGGAAGCATTCGGTCCAGTTTTAGTTCTGCAAATGACCCAGACTTGCTGCCCTTGTTATGGCCTGCGCCACAGTATGCGAAAATAGTTTCGCTGCCGTCTTGACCTTTTGGCGGTGAGCTCCAGCCACGGTCAAGTTACTTGCAGAAATGAGTTATTGTCAAGTCCGTGCTTGTAATTGACAATAACTCCAAAATTATTTCCTTTTTCACAGGTTTCCCATTAATTAGGAAACCTTGATCAAGGAAATGATTTCGCAAAAGTTTTAGCAAGTGTGGCACGTCAGCGAAAACGTAAATCCTTTGGTCATTGAAAATAAACCTATGGAAATGAGAAGTATTATAAGAACTGAAATCAATAAGTTTAATTGTGATTATTTACCACGGCTGGTCTTCAGTTACGCCTAGATCATTAAATAGGGCCCTATTGGTACCTCCAAGATCGCATACGGCAGCCACTGCGTTATAGCCGCAATCTTTTGACTTCTGCAACATGCTTCGAAGCAAAACGGAAGTCATTTTGCAGTCGAAGTCATAAAAGATTGGCTGTTTCCACTTTGCCATGAGACCTGAAATATAAAAGGCCTTAATAGAGGTTTGATATTCTATAAAATCTTGATTGTAATGTTTACCTCTTAACATCGCTACCTGTACGTAGTTGACGGGGGCTAATGTTGAGTCCGACGAAACATCGTAACAGTAAGATTGTCTTACTTTCATTTCGTCGAAACTCAACACGCATGTGCCTCGTTCATGTGGGTAGCGGCGGCCAATAACCGGAAGACTGGGGTTATAAGTCCGCGCGAAATGTCCAGTTTTTGTGCCCAACTTTGAAGTGTGCGGACCGATGGGAGTGGAAGGCATTGCTTATATAGCAACCTGTATGCTTTAGGACTGGCAGCATACAACGATATTGACTTCGCAATATCCTCTTCCGCCCATTTTCGTCGCTTCGACCCAGACTTCAGCTTCGCTATCTGCCCTTGGTGAAGATGGAAGCTAGTGCATCTTCCACATTTTTCATTTGGGCAGCCATTTCATCCAAACGTTTTTGCAGTGACTCCATTTTCCATGCGTGTCTCTTCAATTGCAGGTCGTACTCCCGCTTCAATGTAGCGAGCTCGGTGCACTGCTTTTTGGTTTCCTTTTTGAGGTGTGCATTTACGCGCTTGAATGTCTCACTTCAAATAAGAGAAATATAAGATATTATTACATTTACACATAAAGATCTGTTACTTATTAACGTACACTTCCACTTTCAACACTTCCACTTCCTGAAGATCACTATCATAGTAAACACGGTTACGGATAGGTGACGTCGAAGCATCAACAGTACCGTCCCTGGGCCGATATACTTTATCGCCTTCATTTAAACCAACTAATAAACCACTGGTTGCCAAATGGTTGGCATGGCGTCGCAGCGAAGCGATGGTCGACTAGCAGTTCCTAAGACTTTTATTAGATATCGACATATATAAGTAATGAAAATAAATGATAGTTACTCATGTAATCCTTATCCGTAAAGTGCTTCATGCATATTACGCTGGTGTCTAAATTGTATGGCTTCTCCTGCCGGCAGAACTCTACCCACTTTCTGGCCAAGGCGTCGTCGCGGAGAAACAAAAAAAAACTGCATTTAGGGCCTTTACCCCTACGGCTGCTGCAATTCAACATACGACACGACATTTTTATAAAGCTTTTATTACAAATAAAATGTCTTTTACTTCAGAACGCACGAATTACTTCGATTTTCCACTTGAAAATACACAATACGTTTGCATTTGTTTATAAACAAAAAGTTTGTTTACGTATTGCCATAAACGTCAAAGTCGGCAAAACCAAAGTAGCGGTTTCGGGAATGCGCCACCTTCAGTTCGTTACACCATGATCGCCCAGGATACCGTTTTGTAAATAATTAGCGGAATAAAGAGACATTCGATATTTGATAGCGAGAACGACGGACGTGTTTTAGTCACCACTTAGCCCTCTGAATATTTCAGTATCGAGTATTAAAGTACTCATTTTATACCCTCGGTATCGATTCTTACTCAATATCGATAGGATCGTTCGAACCCTATGCATTCCTATTTCGCGGTGAGACGGTGGAGTTGAATATCTTTATCCTTGGATTTCTTTCCTTTCTCACTAATAATGACAAATTTCTTTTTTTCTGTAAGGTAGCAATCAATAAACGGTCTTACGGCACTGAAAAGTTCGGCACAATGCTTTATGATTTCAAACCACACCAAGTTTCGATTAACCTGAGTTACTTTACAAGTGCTTGCTACTCCTTAAATTTTTTACATATTTGTTTTAACAACTATTCACGTAAAAACGCTAAATATAATACATCCCAGTAGAACTTGGGAGCATCGTACGATTGCTCGGTGAGTACTCCCTTGGGAATATACGAATACTCCCCATTGCTCCCTATGCTTCTGTGTATAAGCATGTAATTTTGTATACTCCCTTTAACATTGGATGTCCTAGGAGGGGGAGTAATCCCTTTTACCTCCTAAACAAGCAATCGGAGAGCACACACAGAATTATCATCCCACAAACCTCCTAATGGAGCAATACGGGAGTACTCCCTTAGTTACCTCCCAGAAACCTCCCAAAAAGACAACAAGGGAGTGCACATAGAAAACATCCCACATTCCTCCCTAACGAGTATAAGGGAGTACTCCCATAAGAGTCATCCCGGAAGGCTCCTGTACGAGTAATAAAAGAACGTCTCTATACTCCCGAATTCCTCCTCATGGAGTAATGAAAGACTACTCCCACATTGCTCCATAACGAGCATTTTACATAAGCTAAAAAGATTTTGCTTTTTACGCAATTCATTTATTTAATTTTTTAATCATGGTTAAAACAATTCAAATTTTTGTATTGAAGTTTTGGTTTAATATTTATTTTTTTTCCTTTTCAGTAGGGTTTTTGCACATTATCTTCTGCGTGAGAATTGATCGTAAAAGATACGGATCTGAATAAGCGGCTGGAACACGACTGTTTGTCAAAAACATACGATTTCGAACTCGCGTAAATAGGTTTGTTCGTCGAAAATCCAGCAAGAATTATCCAACACTCAAAATATCAGAGAGTAAGAAAAAATTCTCTCAAATTCTCTCTCATGTTGAGAAACTTGCAAATTTCTGCACGAACGCAAATTTGCAGGAATTTGCAAGTTTCGCTGCCAGCTGGCGTCCACGGTTGCATTTCAAACATAAAAAATTTTTATAGAATTTTTAAAATTCTTTCGGATGGCCAAAAACAGGATATACATGTATATTTCTTGTTGTTCTGACTTTCTTTAACATACATTTCAATTTCTTCATCGTACTAGCTGTCGGGATTCTTAAATCGACTCTGGTTGCAATTGCATTCCGATTGCGAATACCATTTTTTTCAGCCGAATTAAGTTCAAATCATTGGAATTAACTAAATTAATTATATCAACAATTATTTACTTCCTTTTTTCATAAAAAAATCGCTCGTTTATAAATTTTTAAATTTAACGAACTAATTTATTCAAATTATTGTAGACAAAAATGCAACCATGCGCCACAACCACATGTTTTTCGTGTTTGCAAATTCTTGCTGGCAAAATTTTTTCCAGCAAGAATTTGCAACTTCTCTCCAAGAGAACTGTCACTTTGCTCTCACAATTTTTGAGTGTTGGATAATTTTTTGGTCTGCACGAACGCGATTTGGGCAAAAATCGTGATAATTCGTACAAATTCGTACAAATTTTTTGCTCGACGAACAAACCTAATGTATATTTGCTAAATGCAATAGCATGAACGCTCTTCGAAAACATATGTTCGAAAGTGCTAAATGTTGCATTTTAAATGCAGCAAAAACGCTGCATAAGACAGATACGTTGTTTTATCAATCTTACCCACATCGTTGGAAAAATTTACCCTATGACTATTGTTACAATTACTGCGCCTAACACCCAAAACAAACATTGATTCGCCGTTTTCGTTTACTCAGTAACCCCCTATTATGAATTTTCACACGATAGGCGATAAACGCTTGCAAGCGTGTTGTATGAAATCAGTTCTAGCATTATCTTTTTCATACGCCCAACAGATGTATTATTGCGAATGGCTGTGAGTCTTGTTCACTTTTTATTGTGAACTACCACAAATCAGCTGCACCATACATCGGATTTCATACGACAACAGCATGCAGGCGTCTATCGTTCAGGACATGACAATTGTCACCATTAGAGAGCTGAAAATTAATTTGTGGCATAGTACTAGGCGCAGTAGTAAAGACAATAGTCAGTCGTTTAATTTTGTAATTGGATTTGGAATAGGGCTGTTAATCGCGCCCGAAAATGCATTGGGTTGATTAAATCGGTAGTCGATAATTCTGCAGTGTGCGGAGTACTTAATGTTCTCTGTTGATGGTGTGCACGGTGCAGCGAACAAAGGTGGCGCCGTCAGTGGTACCGCTACTTTGGTTTTGCCGATTTTGACAATTGTGGTAACTTGTAAATAAACCTTTGTTTACAAATCAGCGAAAGAGAAATATGAATTATAAGTGAAAAATCAGTTTAAATTGTGTTAATTTGCAATTTGTGAGTGATTTTTGAGTTGAAGACTGCGTAAAAACTAATACAATGAAGTGATGTGTGTTAAATTGCGACAGCCGTCAAGATGCAAGAAGCGTAGATGCAAGTGTAGCGCTGGGACGAATCGCTGCATTTTGTGTACATAGGGCACGGCAAAGCCGTTCCCGAAATATTTCTCTATTATTATATTAACAGCAATTCCTCACAATGATTTTGTTTCTGCTCCACGCAGCCTCCATTAGCAAGTTAACTAATCAATCCCGCAGAGATGCTGCTGCAGTTTTCTGCAGCAGCCTTAATTGCAAAGCAATGGAGTGTACTAAAACGTTTGCTGAAGCAGCCTCAATTGCAAAGCAATGGAGTGCACTAAAATGTTCACTGTTCTCTAATAGATTAGGTGAAAAATGCAATATTATCGCATTTAGCAAAATTAAAACACGTTTTTCGCTGTAAAGTGAACTGCTTTGGCAGTTTCAACTCGTTCTTCTTTTCGCTCTATTCGTTGTTTACTTGTGGTACACAAATGTCAACGCCCAGGACGGCGCAATCTTGTATTCTATCATTCTTGGATGGTGTGACAGGTGCTTAGAGCTGGAAAACTATCGGTCATTATCGATTAGGCCTGGGTAACGGCGCAAATTTTTTGGCGCTGACACACTTACTCCAGCGTCACTGTCGGAATCAGCACAGTGTGTTGGCGCAATTGCGCTTCTACAGGCTAAAGCTAATTTCCTTTATTGCCGCACGCTGCACGCTGCACCAAAGTGAGTTAATACAAGGTGATATCGGTTGAGAAAAAACTCAAGTATACCCAAGTTCAAAACCCAAAAATACAACAAACCCATCATTTTCACATTCAGAAGGACCGCGACGAATTCTAGCTGTGCTGCACATTTTACAAGAGACACTTCTGTTTCGGGTGTTCTTTGCTGGTTCTTTGCGACACCCGGTGTTGTCAGTGTTCCGGTGTTGAACTAAGGTGAATTAATACAAGGTGGTATCGGTTGGGCAAAAACAAGCCAAGTTCAAAACCCAAAAATACAACAAACACATAATTTTCACATTCAGAAGAGCCGCGGCTAATTTTAGCAACACCACCTTGTAAAAATTCGCCTTGTGCTGCACAATTTACAAGTGACGCTTCGCTTTTGTGTGTTCTTTGCGCCGCCCGGTGTTGTTAGTGTTCCGGTGTTGCTGGCGCCATTGCGTCACAGAGTTGCGAAAATCGGTATCGGCGCCAGTAACTCAGCTCTCGGTATCAGCGCAATGGCGCGGCGCCGCACTGTGTTACCCACGGCTATTACGATAAGAAGTAAAAGCAACCAATAAGCAAACAAAAAGGATTCGTGTAAAATTGTAATTTAATTGTTCATCGTGAAGATATATACAAGTGCTGCATTATATTCATTATAAGTCGATTAAAAATGCTTAAAAACGCCTTCGTTATCACTTTACTCATAGTTGGTAAGTGTTTCTACAAATACGGCTATGAAAAACCCACCTTAAACCAATTTCCTTTGTATATGCCTCCAGCTACCGGGCATTTTTCAACGCTGGATGCGGGTCGGCCAAGTAATTATGGAGGACATCGTGGTTATTTTGGTGGCTATCAACCAACGCCACCAGCGGCAACTGAACCACCACAAACGCCTAAAGAGTATTTGGACAAAAAGTCTGGTTTCTCGACTTTTGGCATAATTTCAATCATATTTGTAATAATTTTAGCCTGTTTGGTATTCTACTATGGCATTATGTGTTATCCGTTTTTGTGTCGCGATGAAAAAAAATATCGCTTTATGGATGTCTCTTCGACCATCACATCGGCCACTTCACGTTCAATACAATCTATAGAAAACTTTCCGGTAGATCAAAAACATTAAAGGCAGCAATAGCGCTGTGGGAGAGTTTTTTTTTTTAAATCGGAATACTAAGCAACTCGAAAGACTATGCAAATATATTTTCTGCTTTTAAACTTTTGAATTTATAAAAATTTTACATCGTAATTCGGTAAGGGTTTTGTAATATGATATTTCTCTACTTACACATAATTTAAAAGGTAATTTACTTCCACGAAATGGCTCAGTTGCGGATAGATGATGCGTCATCAGTTTTACAAGAAGTCACTACTTACGTGCCAAAATTCATGCTTTACCTAATTTTAACTTCTTACATACGTAATACATTCGAATAATTTGAATTCTGATGAAAAATCTTATGGCATACAAATTCACTGCCAGTCGGTGATACTACAATCGTCTTGTTTTACTTTGCATAAAACGGAGGACAATTCTTGCCTTTAATATACAAAAAATAGTATACTCTCTTAATATACAAATATTTTTAAACACTCCAGGTTGTGTGAAAGAAATAACCGATTTTTGAACAAAATAAATAAGTTAATATGTAAGTTTATTAAGCTCCACCCACATATATATGTAAACGTACATTTCGTCATCTTAAATGCAAAGAACCAACTAACATCGTCACGTCATAAAGGGCGTGGATACTTCTAATTCGGTGAAATGCATCATAATCAATCAAAAAGTGAATTGGACTTTTTGTTAGTTATGGCGTTTGCATTTCAGGTGACGATATGTACATATTCGTGAGTGTTAAAAGCTTTACGTTTTTATAAATTAAATTAAAATTCAATTTTGCTTACAAAACTCGAAAGTACTCGAAAAGAACAATGAAAAACTAATGCTCGGTTGCACCAATCAATTTTGAATTTATCAACCTGTTAAATTTTAAAATGACACAATTTTGT